GAGAGTTTAACTCAAAAATTTAAACCACATATAAAACACTAGTAGGGAGAAACATACATGAAAGATTTCATAAAAATTTCATACTTAAACATAAAGAACTTGATTTTTGTAAAATTTGACAAGTAAGGCACATATTCAAGATGACCGGTCAAACAAATGAGTTTGAATCTAAAAATTGAACATATAATAGAACTTAATGAACATAGCAAAACCACCAAGTTTCAACCTTGCCACTTAAACATATGATTTTTTAAAAATGAAACAAGTTTGTAGCAAAAATAATTACGAATTTAATGGCTGACTTAATGAACCATCCAGAACCTAATATATTTACACAAGTAATATATTTACACAAGTAAATATAACATGCTGTGAACAACATATAAAAGTTCATGTATAAACATTGAACATACGAATTATTATAATTATTGCAAGTTTCAGTTTCAGCGGAATACATGATTCTACAAATAGTTCGAGAATAAAGGAGTGAACTGGGAATGCCCAGAAATTAGTCGAGCGTCGAGACCAAAGAGTGAACTGATTACCGCAGTTCGTTTTCCGATCGCCGAATGCCAAACAGCTGCTGTTGAATTATCTATCCTTCAAGCAGGTACTCTTGGAAATCAATAATCCTTTGCCTTCATTATTTATTTTTGCAGTTTCGCGCTGTCTTTCTTGTTCTTAAGATTTCTATAATTACCATTGAATTTACAAGAGGTTCCTCTTCTTTTACATTTTTTTGTTTTTCTCTGTTCCTAAAGAAATTGATTATATTTTGTTTGGTAAAATTAGCTCGATGTCCTGCAACTTTTTCCGATGTTTTTTTACCATGTTAATTTGTAGTTAGTACAATTCGTTAAGGAAACTTGATCCCATTTTGTATACATAATAATTTTTTACCAAATTCCTAGTTAACAAGATTGGTGTGTTGATGCAAGCCATCTTTATCTTTTTTGTTGGAAGATATGTAGTTGAGCTATTTCTGATTATTGCTGATGCCACTTGTACTTTATCTTGCTGTTGCCTGTGCTTAATAAGCATGTATTGTCGTGCACGATTGCTTAATCCATTTCGTTTCATTCGGGTCATTTAAAAGTGTAGCAATTAATGTTCTAACCTGAGGAGGCTGTGCTTAACGGATAAAAGCGTAGGCGGCCAAACTGAAGGTCCCATTTTGTTTCGTTTGTCTTCAGATTACACGTTTTAGTTGTCTCGTTTTTTATTTTAGGAAGGCCAGCTTCATTTATGTAGTGAGTGCCTCCTAAATAAGCCAGCTACTAGATTTCATGTGCGGAATTTGCTTCGTACGGAGCAAATGTATATTAGCTCATGATATCGGGTGGTTCTCTTTTGATGGATTGTTAACTTTTAACTTTGAGACTCACTCTTGATCTATCAACGCTTGGCTTACGAAATAAAGATGGAACAAAGATTGTCTTCCATTGTTAGTCAATTTAGATATAAACAATTTGTATGTGTGTTTGTGCTTCCTTTTGTTGTTCTCTTAATATAGTTGTTGCATTCTCGATGTAGTGAACTAATCATGCTCAATCTATTATGTTTGTAGGGTGAGACCATGCAAATTATAATCACTCTGTAATTTCGACTTTTAACCCATAACAGTTTAAAATCTTTTTAACCAAGATATATGGGTTGTCGAGAAAAAAAAGCTTCGTGGAGTGTGTTTGATGGCGTGAAGATGGCATCCACAGCACCCGAGGGACTTCTGTCCGAGATCAATTCTGCCATTGTTGCTCTTGAGTATGCACGTGCTAACACTCCCATTATAAGGCCCAATAGGGAAATAAAAAAATCGGGCCCTACTCAGTTTGACGGCAGACAAGGCTTACAGATCCATGGCTGTAGGGAAGTTGGATGAGGAGGCTGTTTCGTTATTAAATGTTGCCCTCTCCAAGTGCCCTCCTCAAAGGACTTGTGCTGTTGCTAAGCTTCACTCTCTTATTTCACTTACATCCCAACAGCTCCAAAAGTCTTCTAATTGATTGACATGGTTTAATTATGGGGGAAAAAGGGAAACTCAGTTTAGCCAAATTATGGACAAGGCTGGCTACCTTCTTTAATTACAGCTATCCCCTCAAGAAGATCAACACAAATCAGGAGCAATTAGTTGTTGGTTTTGTATGATGGAGCTCCTTTTTTTTCATAATTATTTAGGTTTTGTAGATTAACCTAAAAAATACTATTCTTGTTCATTTTAGTTTTAGATCATTTACCTGTCTTTCAAATATTAATTATACACCTTGATATGTGTTTCAGTTTTACTTATTTTAACTTCCGATACTATTTTCATCACTGATCGAAAATTTTATGGAGTCCTGAGGGCGCTTTACTTTTGATATCTTCTTTCGTTTGATGACATAGCTTCCATGTGCTCGTAAGTTACAAGGCATGGTATAAACGGACGGAATATGTAGCATGCACACCAACATTGCATATATGTTCTCATATTCTGTAAAGAGAAAAACTTATGACAGATAAAATGTCTGAAATTTTACAACACCACATGTCAAATGCCCACTAAAATGGTAAATCCTCACCACCAAAAGAGTAAAATGAATGGAAAAGAAAAACATTAGCTCAACTCGGTCATAACTTTAAGTTTTACATCAGCCTCGATGAGTAAACGGATTTTAAGCGAGCAAGAACCACAAGGAAGGACGATAGATGCCGGTAAAGACGAGTTTGCTGTTAATAAAGAAATTTGACAACCATTGCTCGTTAAAAGATATCCCATTTCAGCCAGCTCAGACGAATTAATCGAGAACAAATCCCCGCACCTGCAATAATATGATAGTTCGAAATAGCTGCCAACATCTTCAACAGCCATTTCATCCAAGCTCACATCATCGGCATCGAGTCTCAATTTCCTGAGTTCATCATCGTAAAGGGCGCGGGACTCCGGGTCACCAAGGACTTCCCAGGCCCTCTGCACCTTTAAAAACTGACTGTTCGACTCATGTTCAGCACCGGATGATTTTTGAAGTTTATCTGGGTGATGATTGAGAACGGCAGCTCTGTAATTTTTGCGGATTTCTTCTTGCCCAGCATCTTCCTCCACACCGATTATCTCGTAATGAGTTTTAGAGACTAAGTTGTTGCTAAATATCATCGCCTGTTAGGGACTGATAATCGATTGGATAACCAAAAAAAAAAAAGGGAGCGAGTCAGAGCACACGCGAATTTCAACAAATAAAGAAGCCCAAATGTTAAAAATGAATCAAGCATATAACTGAACTCGAATTTTCCTAACAATGCAGAATATTTAGTTTCAACACACAGATGAAAAGATAGATTTCTGAACACCTTGTCTTTAAAGAATTAAACAACAACACAAGGTATATCGTGACTCAAATGTTTGAAAACAAAAGTAACACAAAAGACTTGTCCTGAAAGATAAGCAATTTTCTGTAATTTTGCAGTGTTCCATGAACTCGGAGTTAGGATTACGTGCTTTACCAATTAATTCATTAGCTGCGCTTGGATTTAATACTTTCAGCCTCCATGGAGTGGTTGAAAGACTATGATAGTTACATATAGAGGTCCAAGAAAATACAGAAATCAGTAAACACTAAATATTAATTCTTCACTGCCTTCATTAATGTCGTCAGCCAGCATTCATGAAATGTTTTTACTATCTAAACATCTATCTGAAAAGTTACAGCTAACACAATATTCTACTAAATGAAACATGATCACTGATTCACTTTACCCTTCCAAACTGGATTGAGAAACAAAGATCCTAGCAAAAGTCAAGGTTGCTCGTTTTAGAACATAACAATTGTATTGAGGAAAAATGAAGAAAATTCACAAAGTCATAACGAAAGCAGCTTATAAATCAATTAGATTAAATGCCACATTCAGTTATCCTTTGAAAATGGAAATAAAGAAAACAACAACAGTTTTATCATTTCTAATACCTCTCAACTACTCTATCACATAATAATTTACTAATGTCAATTTATTCCTTTTATCTAGCTCTAAAGATCATAACAAACCCAAAATTGGTATTGTTCTTCATGACAGTAATGAAGTAGATGTTGAAATGATGCAGAACTACATCTCCAATTAAGACCCCAAACACAAACTGTTGTGTATTTATAGAATAACATTTCCTATAAAATAGATTGTTGGGTGATTCTTGCACCTACAGAGATCCAAGACAGCAAGCTACTACTTATGTGAAGATACCAACAACAAACCAGACCATACGATGAGGGCGAAAATAGCCCACATGCTGCCACACAGTCGGAAATCTGGACAACTACAACACCGATTCAAGGATATGTTTTCCTTCTATTAGGTCTCATGTCCCTTACATTGATAATTCACCCAATACTAGTCCGTA